GCAGTTTTCTTGGCAAGGTTTTTCAGAAGTGGTTTGCTATTGCCTCCTTCCTAGGGCTGAGGGAGTGTGACTGGCCCAAGGTCAGCCAGCTGGCTTTGTGCCTAAGGCAGGACTAGAACTCACGGTCTCCTGATTTGTAGCCTGATGCCTTAACCACTACACCAAACTGGTTCTCATTGTTCTAGATGGGGGTTTCAAATTGGTTTTCAAAGGAGCTACATTTCTCCAAGTGTTAGTTTATAACTCAAAAATCTTCTTGGACCGAGTAGCACAACTCGGTCTAAAGGCATCAATGGAACTGAATGCCTTTCATCAGATTATACCAGTTTATTAAAAAAAAAACCCTATCTAGTGAAAAATGGCCTTGCTAAAGTTAATATGTGCACTACTTACAGCTGGTTCATATTACTGTAGTATGTACTATGTGGGGCCTACTTTAAGGGTTTTGAAATAGCTGATATAGAATGTAATGACAAAAATTGAAGAATAAAATTCAGTTTTCATCTATGTCACCTCTTTGCATATTTCCAAAATATTTTTAGAACTATATGTGATGTAGAACAGGGAAGTGCAACTGGTTCAGAAATAACATCAGCATTTCAAAGGTGTACTCCAAAAGGTGGCAGACCTAAAGTGGGTGAGACTGCTTAATTTTTTTTGTTCATGTTTATTATTTTTAAACAGCAAAGCAAAAACACAAACCTGTCAAAAAATTAATTCTTGAATAGATAGGGACCATCACAAGTCTTCTCAGAAACACACAGGCAAAAAACACATTCCACACCAAACAAAAACCACACTTGCACTAAAAGTAAAAAAACTCATTTAGTGCTGCAAGTTGGTTTAGCATACCAATTAGATACTGGTAAGTGAGATGGAAGGAAAACAAAATATGAATTGGCTGAACAAACCATGGTTATTTTGCCTGCCTGTAAGATTCCAAATCACAATTAAAACAATTCATGGCTTTGTATATTTTGCTGCTGCTTGAGAATTAAACAAAATTGCAGCTAAAGACCAATAAACAACTGATATTTTCTAATTATGCACAGAGCATTATGTTTTGTTTAGCCCATATTTTCAAATAAACATGGATAGATGTAGTGGGATGTAATGTTTGACCTAGTATTATTCCCCTTTGGGGATATATAAATATTTACATGAAACATCATTATTAGCCAATTTATTTATTTAATAGATTTTATATTTTATATACCCAATATATAAACAACCAAAAGGGGACTCCACTCAAATGGACCAAATGCCTGGGGGGAAAAAACAAGACTTAGTGGCTTTCCTAAAGGCAAGTAGCATTGGGGGGGGGGGGGGGG